TCAATAAATTCCTTAAGATATATGAACTACCCAGATTGAGTCAGGAAGATATAAACAACCTAAATAGACCAATATCAAATGAGGAAATAGAAGAAGCCATCAAAGGACTACCAACCAAGAAAAGCCCAGGACTGGATGGATATACAGCAGAGTTTTACAAGAAATTTAAAGAAGAACTAATACCAATATACCACAATCTATTTCAGGAGATAGAAAATGAGGGAGAACTTCCAAATTCATTCTATGAGGCCAATATCATCCTGATTACCAAACCAGATAAAGACACCTCAAAGAAAGAAAACTACAGACCAATATCCCTAATGAATTTAGATGCAAAAATCCTCAATAAAATTCTGGCAAATCGGATACAAAAATATATCAAAAAGATCGTGCACCATGATCAAGTAGGATTCATCCCTGGGATGCAAGGCTGGTTCAATATACGGAAATCAATAAATGTTATTCACCACATCAATAGACTTAAAGATAAGAACCATATGATCATCTTGATAGACGCAGAAAAAGCATTCAACAAAGTACAGCATCCCTTTATGTTCAAAACACTAGAAAAACTAGGGATAACAGGAACTTACCTCAACATTGTAAAAGCTATCTATGCTAAGCCTCAGGCTAGCATCACTTTAAATGGAGAAAAACTAAAGGCATTCCCTATAAAATCTGGAACAAGACAGGGATGCCCTCTCTCACCACTTCTATTCAATATAGTTCTCGAAATACTGGCCAGAGCAATTACACAGACAAAAGAAATTAAAGGCATTAAGATAGGAAAAGAAGAACTTAAATTATCACTATTTGCGGATAATATGATCTTATACCTAGAAGACACAAAAAATGTCTACAAAGAAACTACTAGAGCTAATACATGAATTCAGCAAAGTGGCAGGATATAAAATCTACACACATAAATCAAAGGCATTCCTGTATATCAGCGACAAATCTTCTGACTGGAAATGAGGAAAACCACCCCATTCACAATATCCACACAAAAAAAAATAAAATACTTGGGAATCAACCTAACAAAAGAGGTAAAAGATTTATACAATTAAAACTACAGAACCCTAAAGAGAGAAATAGAAGAAGATCTTAGAAGATGGAAAAATATACCCTGTTCATGGATAGGCAGAACTAATATCATCAAAATGGTGATATTACCAAAAGTTCTCTATAGGTTCAATGCAATACCAATCAAAATCCCAACAGCATTTCTTGTAGAAATAGATAAAGCAATCATGGAATTCATATGGAAGAATAAAAGACCTAGAATAGCAAAAGCAATTCTAAGCAGGAAGTGTGATTCAGGAGGTATTGCGATACCAGATTTCAAACTGTACTACAAAGCAATAGTAACAAAAACAGCATGGTACTGCTACCAAAACAGGCAGGTGGACCAATGGTATAGAATAGAGGACACAGAAACCAATCCACAAAATTACAACTATCTTATATTTGATAAAGGGGCTAAAAGCATGCAATGGAGGAAGGATAGCATCTTCAACAAATGGTGCTGGGAAAACTGGAAATCCATATGCAACAAAATGAAACTGAATCCCTTTCTCTCACCATACACAAAAGTTAACTCAAAATGGATCAAGGAGCTTGATATCAAATCAGAGACTCTGCGTCAGATAGAAGAAAAAGTTGGCTCCGATCTACATATTGTAGGGTCGGGCTCCTAATTCCTTAATAGGACACCCATAGCACAAGAGTTAAAAACAAGAATCAACAAATGGGACTTACTCAAACTAAAAAGTTTTTTCTCAGCAATAGAAACAATAAGAGAGGTAAATAGGGAGCCGACATCCAGGGAACAAATCTTTACTCCTGACACTTCAGATAGAGCCCTAATATCCAGAATATACAAAGAACTCAAAAAATTAAGCAATAAGAAAAAAAATAACCCAATCAACAAATGGGCCAAGGACCTGAACAGACACTTCTCAGAGGAGGATATACAATCAATCAACAAGTACATGAAAAAATGCTCACCATCTCCAGCAGTCAGAGAAATGCAAATCAAAACCACCCTAAGATACCATCTCACTCCAGTAAGATTGGCAGCCATTATGAAGTCAAACAACAACAAATGCTGGCGAGGATGTGGGGAAAAGGGTACACTTGTACATTGCTGGTGGGACTGCAAATTGGGTGCAGCCAATTTGGAAAGCAGTATGGAGATTCCTTGGAAAGCTGGGAATGGAACCACCATTTGACCCAGCTATTGCCCTTCTTGGAGTATTCCCTGAAGTTCTTAAAGAGCGTACTATAGGGATACTGCTACATTGATGTTCATAGCAGCAAAATTCACAATATCTAGACTGTGGAACCAACTTAGATGCCCTTCAATAGATGAATGGATTAAAAAAAATGTGGCATTTATACACAATGGAGTATTACTCAGCACTAAAAAATGACAAAATCATGGAATTTGCAGGGAAATGGATGGCATTAGAGCAGATTATGCTAAGTGAAGCTAGCCAATCCCTAAAAAACAAATGCCAAATATCTTCTTTGATATAAGGAGAGCAACTAAAAATAGAGGAGGGAGGAAGAGCATGAGAAAAAGATTAACATTAAACAGGGACGAGAGGTGGGAGGGAAAGGGAGAGAGAAGGGAAATTGCATGGAAATGGAAGGTGACTCTCATTGTTATACAAAATTACATGTAAGAGGATGTGAGGGGAAAGGGGAAAAAATATCAAGGGAGAGAAATGAATTACAATAGAAGGGGTAGAGATAGAAGAAGGGAGGGGAGGGGAGGGGAGGGGGGATAGTAGAGGATAGGAAAGATAGCAGAATACAACAGTCACTAGTATGGCAATATGTAAAAACGTGGATGTGTAACCGATGTGATTCTGCAATCTGTATACAGGGTAAAAATGGGAGTTCATAACCCACTTGAATCAAATGTATGAAATATGATATGTCAAGAGCTTTGTAATGTTTTGAACAACCAATTAAAAAAAACACCAATATTTCCCACTAATATGCCTCTGCATATTAGCTTCTGTGTTCCATTTTTATTTTAGATAAAACATTCATATTTCAACTACCAAAACATAGCTATTATGCAGAATATTTTAAAGAGAAGTACATCTTCAGTCCCACTGGCTGTGAAAGCTAACAGCAACATTTCTGAGAGACAATAATTTATTAATCAGAGGGTAGAAAGAAAAGAACTATGACAGCCATATTCCATACTTTTCTCTAGTTTCTTTTCCTTTCTTTAAAGGAAATGCATCTGTTTGACACTGTATTCATGAAATTTCAATTATTTCTCAATTCAACAAATTTGAGTACCTCTCAAATTTGTGCACTCACTCCACATCATTTGTTTCCATATTTTCTTGGAGCCTTATATTTGTACATAATGGTGAAATTCATTGTTACATATTTGCACATGCACACAACATAATACTGTATTTAGGCCAATATAATTCCCCATATTTCTCCTCTCTTTTCCCTCTTCCTATCTCCTAACCCCTTTCCTCTACTCTACTGATCTGCCTTCCATTTTCATGAGATCCACCCTGCACCTTCCTTTTCCTTTTTCTCTCTGGCTTCCATATAGCAGAGAAAACACTGGACCCTTGACTTTCTCAGTTTGGCTTATTTAACTTAATAGAGATCTCAAGTTCCATCCATTTTCCTGCAATTTATGTCAATTGCAGGAAATTCAGAAATATTAGGAATTGCAGGAATTTCAATTACACACTTTTTAAAGTTCTAGTGGGGATGCCTATTGGGATACCAGATGAATATCCAAAATATCCAAGAGGTTTTATAAATTTCAGCATTGAAATTAATCAATTAATCAAAAGGTCTATTTTTGCTTCCATAACCTCTTCTGTAGGAGTAGCCCTAGAACCACAATGCTTGTTCATTTTGTTGTTATTATTGTTGTTTTTAATAAGCACACCTTGAGCAATATAGACAACTATATAATTGTGCATCTTATGTGTTCCTCCTATGTTCACAACTTTGATCATGTTTCCTCACAACATGCTATCAAATCAAATGTTCTCCCCTCAATACTCACTTTATGTCAACACTTATTCTCCTAAAGCCTCTTTTTCTGTGGAATTTTAAAAAATGTATTGAAAATCTACTTTACACCAGAAAAGCATTGCTATGTAGATTACGTGGCTTGAGAAATATTTGTTCTATGAGTCTTGGAAGATGTAATGTGGGTAGAAAATAAAGTACTGTGTAATAAAGGATTATTGACTGATTTAGTTTAAGCTGAAACATCTATTTCTCATTGAACTAGATGGTAGAGTCCAGAAGACTAGATGCTAATATTGGAAAAACATTGGCTGCTTTTTACTATTTCAATGATTCTTCTTTGATTTGTCACTAATCAAATAGGTCATGGAGTGATGATGTTAGGAAGGGCATTCGTTTCTATGTTTTATTTTCAAGATCAGTCCATCATTTTGATTAAAGGTACGTATTAGGAGATGGTAAAATATATATTTCTGTAGTGAAGATTTTTGAAGAGAGAGGAGAGGAATTTTTTGGTACAAGTAAATTGGAATCAACTTTAGCAAGTCTATTAGGTAAAACATTAACTTTGAAAGGTTAGAATGTCAGAACAACTGATGATTATAAATATTTCAGGTTAGTATGGGCATCTCTGACTATGGTGAACACCTGGATCCCAGAAAATATATAATCAATCCTTGACCATCCATTTGGTCAGTTAGTAGCCAAATTCAACCTGGAGAATGGAAGACATGATAACAAAAGAAACTGCACAAGCCATTGATGTTGTCAACATCTAATGCTTAAGGCATGGACTCTAAGAGAGTATGTACCACATGTAAAACCTATGAGAGCAATAAGGTCATCTATCCCCAAGAAAGATGAATTAGCCATTTTATGGGACAAAGCCCTGCTAGTCAGTGACACTCTGAAATTTTTTCTTCTGTTTACACAGGGAATTCTGTGAATGCTCTACTCTAAACTTCCCAAAAGTCATTATGTCACTCCTAAATGTCACCAGCCTTACTCCAGCTTCATTCATTTTAAATGGCATCCCTGGTCTGGAAGAGGTGCATTTGTGGATCTCCTTCCCCCTGTGTGCCATGTACAGCATTGCCCTTACAGGGAACTTTGGCCTTATGTACCTCATCTACTCTGAAGAGGCCTTGCACAGACCTATGTACATCTTCTTAGCCCTTCTTTCCTTCACAGATGTGCTCATGTGCACCAGCACCCTTCCCAACACTCTCTGCATACTGTGGTTCAACCTCAAGGAGATTGATTTTAAGGCCTACCTGGCCCAGATGTTCTTTGTGCACACCTTCACAAAAATGGAGTCTGGGGTGCTCATGTTCATGGCACTGGACCGCTACATGGCCATCTGCTATCCCCTGCGCTATGCCACCATCCTCACCAATGTGGTGATTGCTAAAGCCAGGCTGCTCACTTTTCTTAGGGGCGTGATGATTGTTATTCCTTTCTCTTTCCTCACCAAGCGCCTGCCATACTGCAGGGGCAATATCATCCCCCATACCTGGATGGTAAGTACAGGGTTTATTAACTTGGTGGCATTTCATGAAGCTGTTACCTAGAATGTATGCTCTTTTTTGCATGCATGATATATTTCAGAAAAACATTTATTTGAAATAACATCTTTTAAGAATCATACTCGGACCCTATAAACTGTGAAACATTTCTTTCTTGTCTCCTGTGCTTCTGTGTATGACTTAGAAAGAATATACACTTCATTTATTAATGAATATATTAATTTGGTATGTTATCTGTGCATGTTTATACAAATTATGATCAAATAACATGGACAATACCATAGTTAATAAAATGATCGAAACCTTCATTATTCCTTTTATAGAAATAACCTTTTAAACCTATTGTGGTATTCACATATATATTTTTGTTGTTCTTTCTGGTGATTATTTCTTTACTCTAAGCTATGTTTGAACTTTAATTAGATTACCAACTATTCTGTCATACACAATGAGAATTCTTTTTTTGTACCAGTGATTGACACCAAGGGTGCTTAACCACTGAGCCACCTCCCCAGCCCTTTTTGTTTTTTATTTGAGACAGGGTCTCACCAAGTTTCTTAGGGCCTCACTAAATTGCTGAGGTTAGCCTTGAACTTGTGATCCTCCAGCCTCAGGCTCCCAAGCCAGTAGAATTAAAAGCATGAACCACTAGGCCCAGACACAATGAGAACTAACTCAATTACTATATCAGTCACACTTTCTCTCAAAATATTATATATTTTATATAAATATACATATATATCGTATGCTACCACACATGTGAAAAATATGCATGGGTCCTGTTCTCCTTTTCCCACTACTTTAAACCTCCATGTGAATCAATTTTATCTTTAGTTTCTTCTTTAAATTATTACCAGTTTATACAATTCTGGATTTGTTTGTAATTTTATTGTAATGAATAAACTTAGTAAATAGTATTTTGCTTACTATAGCTACATGCATATTAATATGAGTATTGAGTGTGAATGTTGATCACATTGTACCCAAATCAGGACTATAGTTCCTTCTCTTTTGTTGTAATAGCATCATCATTATTACTCATGAAGAACCTGCATCCATTTTCAGTAGTATCTGAAAATATATTACACAGATTGAACAAGGATAATGTTTATGGAAAAGAAACACCAGAAGGCAAATGTCTAACGTTTAGAAGTTTCATTAAAATAGAAAGCTGTTAATTCAAATGGACAAATTTATCCAAGCCACTCTAAATTATTTTTGTATTTTTAGTTGAAAAAAATGTGTTTCTTTCCTCCAGTTATTTGGAAATATACAACACATTAATGTTAACTATAGCCCCCCCACTCCTGTACAAAAGAAGAGCACCTATTATTCCTCCTACCTGTGACTTTGATTTCACTCACCTACTCATCTCCTTCCCACAGCTATGATGGTCTATGCTTAGAGGAAACCAGCTACTAGTGTAGAACCTCATACGAGTGTCTGGTAACCATTATTTTGTTCTCAACTTTGCTAAGATAATGTTTACCACATTCTGCATACATCTACCTCATGTGGTACCTGTGTCTCTCTGCCAGGTTTATTTCACGTCACATAATATACTCCAGATTCATTTATATTGCACAAAATGATAGGATGCCTTCTCCTTTTTTTGGCTAAGTAGTATTCCAATGTGTGTATATATACTGTATTTTCTTTATGCATTCATTTGTTGATGAACAATTAGGTAGATCCAACACCTGGGCTCTTTTGAAATGTCGTGGGCAGATGCTTCTTCAAAAGACAAATCTCATTTCCTTTGAATATATGCATGGTAATGGTATTGCTCAATCATATGACAAATCTGTTTTTAATTTTTTGAGGAACTAATGCACTGTTTCTCATAACGACCATAACACACCATAAAGTATTTTCTATAACTGAATTCAGAATTGGTGGTTTAAGAAATGCCAATAAATGACAAAATACCTAAAAAAGTGTTTATATAAGATAAACTTGGACACATCTTTGTGAGAATATATGATATACTCTGCCGCAGTCTGGCTGGGCACAAAATCACGAGCCACCACACAGCTTGTAGATTCAAACAGCAATTCTTTATTCCCGAACTCACACCAGCCGTCTACAATCATGTTCTGGGGAAATCCAGGATACGTCCTATTCCCAACAGGAATAACCTTAAACCTGGAACCACCCTAAACCCGGATCATCCTAAACTGGGAACACCCTAAACCCGGATCCGCCTTGGTCCTTGAGCAAGGTCACCTACATGCAATGTCACTGCAAAATGTCCTATTTCCACGAGTCCTTCCACTAAGCAACATGGGGTACGCTGGCAAGGAAATTGTCATACCTACTTGGCTAATGGCTCCCAGCAATACTCTATCAGCAATTTTTGACATAAAATGTATTATTGCTAAACACAGTCATCGTGCTCTATATTAGTCTTCCTCAGCTTGTCCTATATCTGCACACTTGCATTTGTGGACCAACATCTTCCTATATTTCTCTTGTACACCTGACTCCCTTCTATTTTCTGTTTCTATAGGGTAAGTTTATTTCATATAGCACAATGTCTACAAGGCCACTCCATGTAGTCATAAATGTAGGGTTTCCTTGTATTTTAACTTTTTAAAAGTTGGCACATAAAAATTATACAGTTACAGGTTTATAGATAATGTTTCAATATACACATCATATAATGTTGGAAACATGGTGACCTATCACCACAAACATCATTTCTTTCTGGAGAAAATATTCAAAATCCTTTCTTCTAGCTTTTTAAAAAAGTACAGAACCTGATTATCTATAGCCATCCTATTGTGCATTTGAATACCAGAACTTACTCTACTAATGGTAACTCTAGCTTAGCAACTACCTCTCTTTTGTAAGTTGTGTTCTGTTTTGCATTTATTTTTGTATTTATTTATTTTTTTAAGATCCAATGTAACAATGAACTCTCAATTCCAACTGTGGACAAGAGGTTCCCACCTGCATAAGTGGATCGCCTGCTCTACTAGACTTCCCTTTACTAATGTCTATGCTTAGAGGAAACCAGCTACTAGTGTAGAACCTCACAAAAGGAAGTGACAGACCAACTTGACGTTGCTTCAAAGGGTACAGAGTTTGAGTGCAGAGTTTCTAGGGGAAATTTGATATATAAGTGATTTAAAAGTAGTATATATTTGAAGCAATACCTATTAATTTCTACAAATTTCTTAATAGCATCAGCCATGATATGTGGATGATCATCATAAAGCTACAATGTAACATATTGAAATGAACTCAATGTTTTTAATTAGAGAAATATTTAAAGGCAGGTGGATAGCCATAAAATACACTAATGTGTTAACTTTGAGACAAGACACATTGTAAAGTTATTGATGGATGTTTATGATCTATTTTTAAATGAGAAGCAAAGAGTAGTGAATAACCTGTGAATTGTGATCATGATTTTCAGAAAAAAAATAGTATGTTTGTGGATATAAATACACAAAAATCTATAAGTAGGTATTTCTTTTCAGAGAAATAGGTTACTTTAAAATGTCTTCATTGTTATTATTTTATTTTTTCTTAATTAATAAGCATTTACTATTTTGTAATTTTCAATAGTAAATAAAAATTCATGAAATCTTACATAAATATCAATCTTTAATTTAGTTTTAATTGTATTAGACAAGAATTTTCAACTTGTAGTCCTCATTGTGGGAGTGACCTTTTGGGCTGCTTTCCTCTGGGGACCACCTATGGCTAAGGAAATATTCCCCCAGGAACATGTGAAGCTTTGTATCATGTTTTCACTTAAGGACTCTATGCTCTGTGGGGGCTCTTAAGCCAGTTTCACATTAAAACTCAGGACTTCTGAGGACAGAAGAGATTGTGTTGGTTTCCTGTGGGATTTCCACTGGCCTAAATACTTACACTCCAGGCTATAAGGAGAAGCCATGGTGCTGACACCAAGTACTATCCCTGACCTGAACACCTCTCATGCTTCTTATCTGCAGCCATATTGTGAGTAAGGGATGATTTCTGCCTTCCAGGCATTTGTAGGCCCATTGTATAGCAAAGCCTAGCATTGTTTCATTCTGTCTGTGTCATCACAGGCACAAAGCTACTGCCCTATAAAGGATGTTGTTGATGATTTATGCTGAAAAATAATTAAGATATGTTTATTCCACACTCAAAACAGTACTTATATAGAATGTGTGTTGTTGGTGGACAAAGGTACGGGTCAGATGCCCTTAAAATCTCCATTGGCGTTAGAAAACGCTTCTTCATAAATGTGTGTTTACACACACACACACACACACAAATACATATTAATATTAAGCAGACTTTTATTGTTTATAGCAGCACAATCACAATAGCTAAGCTGGGGAACCAACCTAGGTGCCTTTCAATAGATGTATGGAAAAGAAATTGTGATATATATACACAATGGAAGTTATTTTTTTAAATATATGCTGTCATGTAGAGGATTAGAAACAATCCTAGGATGCTTTAAATCAGGAAAAGATAAATAGGTACAATACTTTTCCCACTAAACCAGTAGCCCACTCTTCCCCACCATTCCCTTTCCTCAATTCAGTCACACAACTTGCACTCAGTCAATACAACCCCAGTTTATTGAGAATTCTTTTTAGTCCAATACTGTCCTCATTCAAAGTAGGTAACAAATTTGGACAATACACTAAAACAGCTTACAGTCAACTCAGGGAGAGGAAAAAGCTAAATTGTTCCATACAGGTCTCCAGGTTATCATCATCGTGGAAAAAAATGGAGAGAATGTGGGGGTATCAAAGAGGAAGGAAGGGGAATCTCAAACAATGAACCTGGTTTGGTTTGGCTTAGGAGAGATTGGGAAGTTCTTGCTCCATATTCTGAATCTCTAAGCAGGCTATTCAGTATACTGCTTTTGTCAGATAAAGGAGCTTTAACAATATTGAATTGATAGACTCATTATAAGAATGCAATTAAATTCACAGATTAACTTCAATAGTAATCATGTAAATATGTTAAATATATAAATATAAATAATCAAATGGAATGGTTGTTATTTTATCCATTGACATAAGGATAAATAT